CTTCTTAGTGTTGAGCAGATAAACAACGTGCATAGTTATGATAAACAATTGTGCTTCTTAGGAATTTTTTTTTTAAACTTGTGGTCCCAGGTTTTGGTGTTTCTCGGGGCTGGGGGATATTTTGATAAGTGAAAATGTGTTTATTATTTAAAAAATCTTCAACTAAGTGAATAGTTAAAATGATGAGGGTACCTCTACCAAATTTGTGAATTTCATGACCTTTAGTGTTAGGGTAGGGCTGTTTTGAATCTGTAGTAAGAATGCATTATTTTTTTGAAAATCTTCTCTGCTCCTTGGCATATCGAAGGCAAATTTGATAAAAGGTTTAGTAAGCAAGGGTATTTTTACCAGGTTTTTTAACATCAGGACCATTTGGTCAAGTGTTCTGGTCCGGCCAGGACTCTATTAATTTGTATTCAACTGAAAGAAGTTTTTCCCCTTTGCCATTCACTTTTGATAATTAATCACTGTAAATAATGGTTTAGATCAAATAATCGTAGACACACGCGATTTTTCTCTTTTTTATGCCACACTGCTAAAAACATATATAATAATATTAATAATAATTACATATAGACCATAATTGAGTACATTTGTAACATTCAAAACAATATGCGATAAGTTTCAAGCGTCATCAGTGCATGTATAAACACTTCGCATACATAGACTGTAGAGCCCATTCCGAAGTTGCACCAAAATTTATTACAACGTCATGAAGAGATATCCTATTTTCATCAAATAACAGAAGTTTTTCACTTCTTGTAATGTCTCTTAAAATGTACACGCCGTTGAAAAAATAATATATACCTATTTCAAATCAATGAACTAAATATATATTCCAATAGCTTCCCGTTCTTTGAGTAATTAGTTTGTCTCTGACGACGTTTCAGCCATATGACATACTTTTATGATTGGACGCTGTTTCACGCGAATGGCCGACATCGCTCTTTCTGTCAATTTTTGAAACATATTTCTCGCGGTTTTTTAAGGAAATAATTTCACCATATGTCCAATAAGCGATACTAGGATGTCAATAAATAAATAAATAAATGAATACAAAATAATACAACAGCTTTATTTGAGACACATTCAAATTTTTCTTCAGTTTTAGCTTGTTTTATGAAGAAAATAACAATTTTAGTCGACCTTTAAAGACCGCGATTTTTTCAAAAGTATTGAATTCAAACAACCAAAACCAAAGCATTCTGACTTATATTTTCATAACACATATCTTGGTATACAATAGGAGAATTCAGTTTGACAAAAACGTCATTGTCCGAGAACTTTATGGACAACCCTTGTATGTGTAAGATGGATATCTAAATAACAGACAAAAAATCAAATGCGGTGTCGAATTTATTCTTAAAACGATTCCTGAACAAATTCACAAACGCCACAACCTACTTTTGACGTCGTCAGTCTTGCACCGACATCTATTTTCATTCTAAAAGAAAAGAAAGAAATAAACGTAATTAAAAATCAATTATGAAACCAAAATCCTTACCAACACTACAATCCTCGGATTTTCCGGACTCGCTATTTCGACAAATGCAGAAGAAATATGATTGAACAAGAAATTCAATGCAAGTTCCATTAAATGAGCATGGTTTTGGTTGCATAGGTGCATTTCTTTGCAAAAACAAATTAAAAAGACAAAGATGAGAAACTATGAATTATGCCCCGGTCATGCTCTCAATAGGAAAGATGAGGAAGGAAGTGCATGGTTTTTCACCTCATTACCTGGTATTAGCGCGTTTGTAATTTGTTGTCACTAATTGTTGATTAGAAATTCAATTGTACATTTTACACAATAAAAGGTAGTCTGTGCAACGTTCATAAAGTCTTACAAAGAACTTCAGCGCTTCAAGGATACGAAGGAGCAGCATCCTATAGACATTTAAATAGGCAACAATTTTTTTCTTTATTTTTTTTATGACAGTACGCGTGAACTTTTGTCTTTGGCCAGGGAATCCACCTGACATTTGTATTCACCGATAGAAAATCGCAAATCGCCTTACAGAATGGCTTGTTCGAAGTAAAATGTAAACATGAAAATTTGAGTTTGTTGAAATCCCCGTAACTCCAATTTATCCGTCTGTAATTGCCTCGATTTAAAGTTGATTGTTCTCAAAGCATGCTCTTGAGTATCGAATTAGTTTGGAGACGTAACACCATATGCAGGTGAAAGTGGAATGTTATAATTACTTTATAAATAAGGAAAGTTGACGATGGAAAATCTGAAATCAGTTCTTTTGTCATACAATTCATCTGTTAGTTGGCCGATTGTCAGTAAAACATCCAAATATGAAACAGCTTTGTAAGACTAATTCAAGTTCACTGAGATAATTTTATCCACTAGACTCTGATCCAATATCTGAAGAATTCCAGACTCATCTAAGAGTATGCACCCAAGAACCTCGTCAAACTTTGATATTCCAAAAAAATATCTAGATTGAGACATGTTACAATTTGTGTCAGAAAGCAAAGCACAAAACAATGTCAAAGATTCAGAATTCCCAAAGAGGATCAAAAAATGAGTGGAAAGCTTTCTAAGAGAATTTGTTTAGGCTTAAGGAGCTGTTCAAGGATAGTTGTGTACAAATCGTTTCTCTCGCTGCACCATGTAATTATCATGATTCCCAACTCTTGTAGATGTGAGAATATAGAAATAGGTTTTCAAAATCTACTATTTCTGTGTACCAATAAATCTTAGGTTGTTGAAACAATAAAGAGAATGATTTGAATACTATGTTGGGTTTGTTATGCAAGTGTGTGCATTGTTTGTTCACAAGTATCACCACTTATAAATACAGATTGAGAATTTGTCATTTAGAATATTAACAAATAGTTAGTGCATCACTTCTTATTATGCTTTGATAAAATGACCAAGAAATTAGAAGTGTTTTTCTTAATTTTTAATAAAGTAAGCAATCATTAAAATTTACTCAATGTAACTCATTGTAACCACTTTGACTTGTTTAATTTTTGCGCTTGCTCTCTTTAAACAATTTTTATAATGTAACAAACCCGCAAAATCCGATAGGTTACGTATCCTTTTACAGCATTTTTGTACTGTCCGATATGTATAGCCATGGGAATTTCCTAAATGTTATAAAGTTCAGCAGTTGTAAACAACGGAATCTTAACAGACATGCATATCTTAAATATTTGTGCAATTTATTAGCATAATCTCTTTGATGTTTTATGTCCAGTTTCATTGTTTGCTGATAATTAGACCTTCTGAGCTGAGGGTTTAAGAAAGTTAATCTTAACGTAAACTTGTCATCGCTGTCCATTTCATCAGACTGGTTAAAGTTCACATTAATCATGTTAATGTAAGATAAAAACATAGATCTAAGCATATTGGATAACCAAAGGTAAAATTCTCCCCTATACATGAATTGTGATTGTCTACTCCAATTGGTTATGTTATCGATACGGGAATAGCTGAGTGTAAATGCAAATATCACTCTTGTTTTAGCAAAATCAGGTCAAAGAACACGTGTGCTTTATGGAACGATTCATGGGTTCAGGCCCTTACCATGCACATATAAATTCCGTATTTTAGTTTCAGGTTTTTATTTAATAATTTCATTTTCTTTATTTCATAATTTCTTTTTCTTTATTTAATAATTTCGTTTTCTTTATTCAATAATTTCGTTATTTTTTATTTATTTTTGGTTTGCACTATTGGGCTTCCGTTTAAAATATATTTTTTATAACCCCCCCCCCCCCCACACACACACACACACACAAACAAACAAACAAACAAACAAAATGGAAAACTATTTTGAGAGGGGTAGGTGGGAATGAGAATCTAATGATTAATTTTATCTGGCCAAAGGAAGGATATTTTTCTCGGTAACTCTTGCTACGATCGATATAGGCCTAATCTTAAATGGAGTTCTGTATGTTCGTGGTAACTTTGCCTACCGTATGGTCTTTTGGGTGAAAAAAAAACCCAAATGTTTCTGTTATAGCTAAAAGCTGACAATTTTTTTAAAAAAATTCAATAACCTAACTGATAAATGCAGAAACTGTCCTTTTTTTACATTCCTCTTTCAAAAACACTTATTTCGATAACAAGCTAAAATCATATTAGATGTCAAAAGAGCAATAGATGAACAAAATACGCGTTGATTATTTTCCTGATAAGCAAAATTTAATCTGCATTGATTTGAAAATCATGGAGTAAATACTCTTTGAGGTAAAAAATTATCTGGAGCTCTGTATATACAATGATATCAATTTTCATTTTAATTACCTTGTAACTTATAATATATAAATGGGCACCGTATATCCTAAAGAGTACCAGGAACAATTGCCTTCTTGTGAAAAACCGTGCAATTGTAAAAAACCAAAACAATGTTGAAGTTTGTGGTTTTAACAGCTGTATTTTCTCTCGTTTATTCTACTGGGATTAAGCTTCACTTAACAGGTCAATAATACCGTTTTTAAGAACACTTGATATGAATGCTTTATACTTTTCCATAAAGTTATGCATTTACTCACTTGTATGTATTTATCCAGCTGCAAGTTTAAAATACCAAATTATGAAATAATACTTCAATACAATCATGATTAGAACCAGTTTCATCAGATATCACTGATTATTTGGTATAAAGAAACAAAGATATTCACATTTATAATTTATCTTAACTAATAAAGAAAACATGTAAATTTATAAATGAATTATGCAAATATACCTGCTAAATTATGGACTACTTACATGTACTATGTAATAATCATAGTTGGCATTTTTTTGTACTATGTCAACAATTTATATTTTCTATTGAAAAACTAAATCTCCACTAAATAGAAAGGGAACGATATTTTTAGCAATAAAACAAAATTAAGACACAAATAAAAAAAAAAAGAAGCCATGGTGTATGTTCAGATTTTTTTTTTTTTTGGCCGATGATCGCATTTTTGTAAAGAAATCATCCAAAAATCGTAAAATAATATTTTATGTTAAATTTTATATGTGTGTGTGTCGATAGATGAAGTCAAAGCCATGCTGAAAAAGACTAAATGGGATCACAAGAACACAGTTATCTCTATACAAGGACCTATGACCCTGGATATACAGTCAAGTTATAAACTAAAGGAAGGACGGGTGTTTCTTAAATCACGTAAGAATTATTTAAATGAATAGGGTAGAGCTAGCAACTCATACATCATGGATGAGTCAAACAATGTTTTGTTAGAATGGAAGTTATATGTATTTAATATCAACGCAAAATAATACATAATAGTAATTTAAAAGATAAGCCTTTCCCTCGTCCCCCACTTTTTAGCTGACTGAGCCGAAGGCACAAGTGAGCTTTTCTGATCGATGGGTGTCCAGCGTTCCTCTGTCGTGTCATCTTTTGTTTGTAATTTTGTCATGTTTTCGATTTATTCTCAAGAAGCACTGTGCCAATTCAACCAGAATTATTATTATTATTAGAAAATTATTACAGAACTATTACAGGAACAAGTGCCTGTACTTCAACCCAACAATTAGATATATCCATGGCGGTTTATCATACGTTCATTCATATGTCGACTCGTTATATCCCAGCAAAATAAAGATAAAAGACAAAAATATTCTGCCATATCTGTTTCATATTTTGGATGTTTTTCTGACTATAGACGATAAAGACCAAGTTGATGTTACAAGAATTTCAATAATCTGGTTTACTGTAACCTTTTGGCAAATTCTATGTCGATTGTTTTAATGACCTTTCTGTAAATACATCCTATCGTCGAATTTTGTCTGACATACCATTTGTTAGGTCATTGCTTTTATATTAAATTTGACTATGGAGTACTCCATCTACCTGATCATTACTATGGCTAACGGTAGGAAGGGGGTGTGATCGGACAATAGGGGAAGATTCCTCTTTCTAGGCGCCAGATCCTACCTCTGGTGTTTCCAATGTTCATGATTAGTTTTAACTACTATATATAAGTATGACTTTAATAACTGTCATCTTCACCCTTTGCAGGTTAGTATAGATTCAAATCTGTTCATTTTAAGACCCCCCCCCCCCCATGATAAAGATGGTAGAGTAGGATTGGGAAACAATGGGTGATAAAAGTTTGACATTAGAATATATAGGGAAAAATCTTTTAAAATCATCTTCTCAAGAACAGCAAAGCCATGATTATTTGAAAGAAAATGTAGATTTATTTTTTTTCTTCAAATCATGACCTCCGGGACTAGTATGGAGCAATAATAAGAAATTTTATGTAGGAATGTACAAATAAAAAATCAACTGATGAAGATGAAAAAGTATGAAAATAACTTACAGTGATCGATGATAAATAATCCACACACAATACAAATGTGAAGAGGGTAAAAACACTGACCCCTGTAAATTCAAGAGGTGGGATTAGGCGCCTAGGGAGAGTAAGCATCCCTTGTCGACCAGCCACAACCACCGTGAGCCCTACGTATTGATCAGGTAGACTGGACATTCCTGTCCATAGTCGATTTCAGTATAAAAAAAACAATGGCCTAACGATTGCTATGGAACAAGTCAGCCAAAATACGACCAAATGATAAGACATATTTGCCAACAAGGTCATTGTAACGACCATAGAATTTATGAAATGCCGGCATAAAACAAAGTTGTTAAAATCCCTGTAACATCAACTTATCTGCCAGTAGCCTACTTGGTTTAAACACTGATCGTACTCGGAGCATGTTGTTGAGTATCAAATAAGTTAGGAGATGTAAACACCATATTCAGGTGACAGCGGGAATGACCACAGGGCCATAGTGGCTCTGGTGAGAGCTATGACCCATGAGCCTCTTGTAGTTTCTTCAAAACTCTATTTAAATGGTAATCTTTTTTCTTTTCAGACAGCAAAGGAAAATACAAAGACTGTGCTGAAATCCTTAAACACAGACCCCTGAGTAAAGACGGTGTGTACACGATATCTCCAGATATGAAAACAAAGAGGTCCGTGTACTGTGACATGACGACTGACGGAGGTGGATGGACGGTAAACCTGGCAACTTATATTGAAATATTATTACGAGCTGATCCCTTTCTCCCCTTTCTTTCACTGCAATACTTCACTGAGATCAACAAACAGTTAACATAGTTGTTAGTTGTTTTAAAAGTAGATATATTCATTAGTTCCCTATCTTTATACAAGTTACGTACATATATGTCAACCGTTAAAAAGAAGTAAGGTATTCCTCAAATTACTCAGATTTAGTATTTCATTTCCTGAATTAATTTCAGATAATACAAAGACGACAAAATTGGATTTTATTAACCATTACATGGACAACACATCACTGCCTTCAGACTCCTTTAATCAAGGGTGATAATCCAAAACAACATACAATACAGAGTAGCACTGCACCAAGCCCCACAGGACTAACATCCGCTATAACTTGAGTTCTTGCTTTTGGATCAAAATATCCTAATGTCTCAGCTTTCGATAAACTTGTCTTCAGCTTTCTGAATGCTTGGTCTTGTTCAGGCCGCAAGTAAATGGTTGACTTTTCCTCGTCAAAATTCTCAACAGTTCTGACCCAGTTGCTAGGTTAGGAATAAACTTTCCACAATAGGTTACTAATCCAAGGAAACTTCTGACTTCTGATGCGTTTGTTTGCGGTCTAGCCTCTACTATAGCTTTCACATTCTCTCTTGTTAGGTCAATTTTTTTGTCCGATAAGATGTGTCCCATAATTCATTCTAGTTTTCAAAGACGAAGCTGACATTTTTCTTTGTTCAATGTCAATCCCTTGTTGCCTAGTTTCTCGATCACAGCTAATAATCTACTGTCATGCTCTTCCACTGTTTTGGCATGTAGTGCCAAATGATGTCGTCCGGCGTGTTTCTCACTCGTCGTCCGGCATGTTTCTCACTCACTCACATCCTTGGAGTGCCTGCTGGATGGTGTGCTGATAGATTTCAGGTGCAGAAGTGACACCAAAACTAAGTCTTTTGTTGGAAACACTCCAACATGAGTAACAAAAGTGACGATGTCACGAGATTCTTCAGCTAGCTCTAGATGATGAAAACCCCACTTCAGGTCCAACTTGCTGAAAATACAACTCCCATTTAGATCGTGCAAAATCTCATCAATGGTAGATATTGGATGTCTCTCTCTAATAATGGCCTCATTAGCTTGCCTCATATTCACGCACAGACGAATGGCTCCCAATGGCTTTGGTGTAACAACAATAGGGCTGATCCAAGATGATGGTCTCTCGACTAGCTCAATGATCTCACCGAACTTCCGTACGGATAGAGTTTCTTATCTGATCTCTGTGAAGTACATCTGACCTTCCTCTTCTTTAACCCCTCCCAAAGGTATCGATCAAAAGCATTACAGCTAGCGCCAGAGTTAACGATCATCGAAATATCCTATACTCAACCAATATTCGTGGTAACTGTGGGGTGATTTGGTCCACCAACGATAAGTGTTTCAAGAGTTTCTTGTGAATTGTCAATAAACAGTGTAAATGCATAAGCTCCTTCCGAATCCACTGGCTCTGTTGTGTCCACCAGTCTAGCCCATTGCTTGGGTTTGCCTCATCCCGAATTTTTGTAAGTACTTGGTGTGAAAGATTTACAACACTTAGCAAAGTGATCTGGCTGGTGACACTTACGACATTTTTTACCCAGGGCTGGATATGTTGGATCAGACTTAATATGTCCCCGTTTGCCACATCTATAACTAGCATTGCCGGAAGGATAGGTGACGCTGCGCAAGGAAAAATTTGGGATTTCGCGGGAAAGTGTCCCAACGCATACTACCCTTGAATTACGCCTTTTGACTTTTTCCCTGTAGATTCTGTTGATTTCTTTGGTTGATAATTTTAGAGTAGTGACCTTCACCTTTATGTAATGATATAACCCGGGAAAAACCTCACAATAGTATGGTAAATAGCGTCGTTGAAAATCTTGGATTTGCATTTTTAAAAACTTACCAATTTACTATCTCTTTTAGGAAATTTTACCTCTGAAAATAATTGGTACCATTTTAAAAGTCATTATTGGCCATAATATATGGAAAACATTGTGAAATATTCAGGTACCTTCAAACCTGGAAGTGACCTGTCTAAGGAAATTCGAACTTTAAACAACGTGGTGACAAACGCAGACTGACAGAGTACTGGTTTTAAGATGTACATATTTCTTCTAAATTCTAACGAAGTATTTGTAGATATATAGTGCAAGCTGGAACAGTCAAAGTTAGATTACTATCTGTAAGATTTTTAAAATAAATAAATAAATTTAATAAAGACGTTTGAAAGTTTTGCACTTAGAAATACTGTTCTATTAAGTTCTAGTTCCTTTGTATGTTTTGCTATTACCATTCAAGAAGAATAGATTTATGTCCAATTTTGATAGTGATCGTTCTTTCAGTATGGTTTTTTAGCTCACCTGAGCCGAAGGCTCAAATGAGCTTTTCTGATCACATTTTGTCCGTCGTCCGTCTTTCCGTCTGTCTGTCTGTCCGTCCGTCTGTAAACTTTTCACATTTTCGACTTCTTCTCCAGAACATCTGGGACAATTTCAACCAAACTTGCCACAAAGCATCCTTGGGTAAAGGGGATTCAAGTTCAAATGAAGGGCCACACCCTCTTTCAAGGGGAGATAATTAAGAATTAGTGAAAATTTGGTGGTATCTTTTAAAAATCTTCTTCTCAAGAACCACTGGGCTGTAAAACTTATGTGAGACCTTCATTACATAGTGTAGATTCAAGTTTGTTCAAATCATGACCCTCTGGGGGTAGAGTTGGGCCACAATGGGGGATCAAAGTTTTACATAGGAATATACAGAAAAAAAACTTAAAAAATCTTCTTCTCAAGAACAATAAAGTAATGTTTTGTCATATTGATATGGAAGCATCCTCAGGTAGTGTAGATTCAAGTTTGTTCAAATCATGACCCCTGGGGGTAGGATGGGGCCACAATGGGGGATCATAGTTTTTCATAGGAATATATAGGAAAAAATCTTTAAAAATCTTCTTCTCAAGAACAATAAAGTCACAATTAGTCATATTGATGTGGATTCATCCTCAGGTAGTGCAGATTCAAGTTTGTATCAAATCATGACCCCTGGGGGTAAGATGGGGCCACAATGGGCGATCAAAGTTTTACATAGGAATATACAGAAA